TCTTCTGCTGTGTTGTTTACCACGAAAACCACAAATGCTGGGAGCACATGATTTAAAAGTGATTCATGTTGAAACGATACGGGGTTGATCTGTGGTCTGTGGTCTCCCTTTGCCACTGGTGGGTTTCCTTTATGCCCCTCCATGAAAAGAAAGAAAAACCCAAAACAACAACTCAGCTTTATGGACACCAAGCTCTCTTGACTGATTCAGGAACTAGCATGCAGACGTATGTCCTCTCACAGAAACCTTTATTATGAAGACGTCCTTTAATTCACGCTTGAATCCTTTGCTCACTGCATTTGTGTTGTTTGTATGAAACAGCAGGAAAGTTAAAAAGAATGCACACAGGTGAAGATTCATGTATATTTCCTTTAAAATGTACTAATTAGAATCACAGACACCGACTACTCAGCACGAGTTTGTCCTTTATGGCTTCACAATTAGCTCCAACAACAATTATTTAAATTCTCAACCGCAAGCAGTTTCTGGACTCTATGTTCTTCTTTATAATTTAAGCTTAGATTTGACTAATTTCCTTCAATTTAAGGGCTGCTGGAAGTTAAAAATCCAATGATTCTTTGTTTTTAAAGCTTCTGGTTCTGATAAGCATCAAAAGACTTAATGTGAATTTCCTTCATTGTTCTCAGATAACCTGATAAAATTCTTCTGCTCATGTAAACCTCTGCAAACAGAACGTCTTTGACTACGAGCGAATCATTCTGTGCTATTAATATTTCAGTCAAAACAAAAACATCCCGTTGATGTAAGAAAGGAGACGCGTGCAGCCGGTGAGGGAGGGTAAGATCAGTATGCTTTAATAAGATATCAGTGCAGAAACACAAACTTCTTATCAGGTTAAATTCCCCATATAGTAATAACAATGATAACAATATATTATAATGATAAGATCAATATGAATTTTTCGCATATTAAAATAAAAAAAAAATCAGAATTAACTAATATAACTGCTGTATGACATCGACAAAAATAAAAGTAGCTGAACATGGATCCCACGAAGGAGAAAACAAAAACCCTGTCGTTACACGAGACGAAACACAAAACGCTGACGTTGTCTTTAAAGATCAGCTCGTTCATGCTTTTACTTTAGTTTTTAACGAGAACCCTTCGAGCAGCACAGTGTGTTGAGCGCTAGCACTGGTGAGAAGTTAGAGAGCCGAAGCCCCGCCTGGCTTCGCTTTAGCATCTGTTTAGCTTCGCTTTAGCATCTGTTCCACTCGTTTCCTGAACAGCTCAAACAGACTTTCTCATGTTTCTCTATGAAGAAGCTGCACCTCCTGAGAAGCTCTGAGATCCAACAGAGGTGTTGATGCTACAAACCAATCTCAGTTTGAGGTCGTTTCTGTCTGAAGCTCACATCGGAGGCGGGGCTTCTCCTGTCTAGATTTTTTATTTTTAAATCGACTTCCGTGTAGCCAACTATTTCCACATACAGTATCGCAGTTTATTTCTTTTCTCATGAGTTGGTAAAAAATCCTTCTGAGCTGCTGTTTGTCTTTCGTTGTCCTTTAGCATCTTTGGTCTCCAAAAGTTCTATTTTTTATACTTTAGATCTGCATGAAAATCATCCTGAACATGCAGTAAGGTGCTTATCTTTAAACCTCGCTTTCTTAATTTTATAAATCTTTAAATCGGAGCGATGTTATTGGCCGATATCGGCTCATCAGCAGTCGTCTAATACGTGCCGATGTGAAATGAAACACATTTGGGGTAATATAGAAATGGTGTAGTTTGTTTGTAGTGTGGCTCTGTCTGCAGCACATGTAGCTGAGCAGGTGATGGAGTAAAGTGGCGTCTTAAGCGCTAATTAGTTTGTAAAATAAAACGACTATAATTTTCCCTTTTCAATAGAACTCTCTCTATTTACGCATCGTATTTTTATCTATCGGATTTTATTACTTCCTAGTGATCCGGTATCAGTCTCTGTTTTAGATCCTCCACAAAATGGCACTTTTGTCTAAATTTGAAATCAAGTAAATCTATTTTGCTAAAGTGAAGACGGAGGAGCGATGTGTGGAGTGGACGCGAGCAGAAATCTGCATCAGTGGGCAGGCTGAGCAGAAAGCATCCCTCAACTAAACATCACTTCGCTTCAACGTTTTTTTAATCTAAAGGCTGAAATGAACAGAACGCATTCAGTCATTTTACATAAGAAACTGTCTCCATCACGGTTTGCTTTGTTCCTGTTTTAATCAGATAGAAGACCGTCTGACACACTAATAAAGACGCCATGGCCTCCATCATGTGACTTTCATACAAAGCACGCATGAAAAGCTAGTTTGGGGGTTAAATACAGAATTCTGACTTTAAATTATAAGTTTTAAAAGTGAAAAGTTCTCTAAATACACTCCATTGATCTGTTTATTATTTACTACAGCTTACAAGATTTTAGAATGCACCTGGCCTTTTAATGCGGGCTTTTCATTTTAATTTCTCACACTAAACAACTCGTACGTCCTCGACCTGTTAAAGGACATTCATGTTGTTTTTTTAAACTCGATTTTACAATATTCAGCTCCAACTTTCATTCACAACAGCTTCAGCTTCACCCATGTCGCAGCACTAGTGCCAGAAAATCCTCACGTTTGAACGGTTGAACACAGAGACGCTATTCATCGAAGCAAAAAGAGCTCAACTTTTACTTGTGCAGTCAAATCTTTTACAGCTAATCCCGAAAAAACCCGCCAAGCAGCTTCGATCGTCGTTTGACGAGCTGCTGGATCCCTTCCTGTTAAACCTCACGCAAAGTTTGACTCGTCGTCACCAGAAGATCTACAAGCGGTTCTATGAAATCTAAGAGGGTTCTACTGGACGCTGAAGGTCTACAAGGATTTAAAATGTATATATACGGCGATAAAGGAGCAAACACTAGAAAACCTGAGGGGTTATTACTGAGAACATCCCAACTGTGAAATCTGCTTTTCCAATCAATACAAACTTGATGTCAAAAGGCTCTGCAGGCTCAGTTTTAGTGCCTACAACTGCAAATTTCAATTAAAGCTGCAAAACAAAAGGAAGTTTTGAACTATTCATTCACAAAAGAGGCAACATCAAGTCCAGATGTAGTTCAGTAACAGCCCCCCGGAGGTAAAAGAGATCATCTACGGGCTGGAGGAAACAAACTGTGCTCCTGAAGGGTGAGCTGAACATAAGGCACGTTACACGGATTACAGTGAGCTTTAAAGAAAACCTCAGCACAACGTAAGGCAGAGAACATCAAAATACAGTGTTAGTGGATCCAAGAGACGTAATAAAAGGTTTTAAAAACGACATACACGGTCTATGAAGCACCATTGCTTTTATATATACGCAACTGGAAACCTATGTGATTAATTAATGCGGCGACTTCACCTTCTTTACAATACTCAAAATGCTACATATCTGAAAAGTGAAACTGATATTTTACCTTGTAATCTGAACTTATAGCCTGTTATTTATTCATTTTTAAAGCAAAGAACAACAAGAGTACTGGCCAGCCAACAGATTCAATACATACTTTAGGATAAAACTCTGGGAAAAAAAAAAAGGGGGGAAATAAAACAAAACGAACCAAAAGCCACCACGACACAGTAACAGCACGAGAGGAAACAGCACTGCGAGCTCTAACTGCAGCTACGAGGGGGGCGACGAGGACCAAGTACCAGGACGCATACACAGTAAAACACTAACATTAGTTCTGTCTTTTTAAATACATAACGTATATGTGTACAAAGCTCTATAGTTCATACTCAAAAGTGGTCACCGCACAAAGACAATTACCTCAAACAAAAAAGAAAAAAACAGAGTGAGATTAAGAAAGCGAGAGTTCAGGAGATGAGAAAAGAAACTGGTGACGCTCAGACATCCTGTGGGTGAAAAGTACGACTTGTAGTTTGTACTTCTGTCGTCTGTAGATAATAATGTGTGTGAAGCTTTCTAGTGTGGGCAGCCACTCTGTTGGGCGAAGAAGAAACTGGCCTTGTCCTAAACAAATACATAAACTCCACTTTCAAGTTACTTCACAGGCTGCTGTGCTGCACTAAAAGCTGCTATGTACACGTGTAGAGTCAGGACGAGCGACGGACGGGGCAGCGGTGTGCACAGGGAGGCTGCTGGGCGACAACTGGGATCTTCTGCCTCAACAGAACACCAAACAGGGCAGCTGAGGTGAACAGAGCAGCTCCAAAGATTGTTTTTTGGACCCAGAATGGCGCTGAACGGGCCGTCCGGGCAGCTGGAGTGCCCTCCTGATCAGCCGAAGAGCCCCTCTGATCCCTCCTAGGGCACTTCTGATTAACTCCAGCTGCCCCTGTGATTGGCTCAAATGCCCTCCGGCTGGATTAAGAAGCGACAAATCTCACATACTTCACATTACGGCCTCATTTTTGGTTCCAGGCACATGCTGATTACTGCTAATTGGCTGAAAACGAATGTTATGAGGCTGATTTATGTGTCGCGTCTTGCAGCGTGTCAGCTGATTTTAAATAATCAGTTAAATAAAATAAAATCCTGCACCTCTGTGGAAACACCACAATGCTGACTAGAAGCAGAGCGCTTAAACCTGTCTGCTAGTAAAGTCTGTGAAGTTTTAGGAAGTGATTGTTTGTCACAGGAAAGCCAATCAGGACTGTCTGTCTGCTCCACTGAACACAGAATGTTTTGTTTTTTACAGAAGTTGGTTCGTTAAAGCTGTTTTTTTTTCCAGAATTATGTTTCAGAGTGGAACAGATGAGTAGTTCAAGGACTTTGGGAAAATTCCAAATGTATGAATGGGATGGTTTTGGTGATTTGTTTTGGCATTCAGAGGCTGAAACGGCACCACAATGCAAGATAATCCTCTGACAGACACAAACACTGACTTGATTTTCACCGTTACAGATCATACAACTCAGAAGTCAGGTTCATGTTCCACTCATGAGTTTTCAGCAGCAGAAAGATGGAGCCAATGTAAAACCATGAAGTGTGCATGTGATGAGAGTCAGAGAGCCTTTAGGGGCAACAGCCTGAAACCAGCCCTGGTGTTACTGCCTGAGCCTCTCTGCTGCTCTGTGCACACCGCCGGTCGCTCTGTACGGGCCTGAAGTTTGTGTCATAATATAAACTCATACGAACTCTTATCGTGTGCGAGTCACATTCCTCTGTGCAGGCGATTAATGGTGGATACAGGACAGCTTTGTTACTGACTACTTAAGCTTTAGCTCAGTGAAATAATTGCACGATACGGAAAAAAACAACAACCCTGTAGTCACACAAGCTACTTACCTGACTGAGAAAAACAGGTTCAGACAAAATCAAAGACAGATTTAAGAAGATAGAAAAAAAACAAAACCTTAACAATATTCAACTTACAGTAGAGTACATGTAATATATGTTTATTACCGTGTCTGTGACGAGAAAGAGACGCACAGAACAGCGAGAAAATGAAAGCATGTGGTCGGCTGAAGGTCAGATAAATGAGAACGAAGCAGTGCTGATGCGCTAAAGTGTCTTCGATTTGGATTAAATAACGTGGAGCAGAGAAGCTAAAACGACTCAGTTCAGTAACAGAAGCAACGACTACAACAACTAAAATAACATACGTGTTTAAAATTGACCCAAACAGATGTAGTGCTGCTGCGGAGCGGCCGATGACGGGATGGACTGGGCTGAGGAGATGCAGGCTGCTGGATGGCTCTGAGCTGGGCTGGGTATCACCTCGCTGATTCTGATTCTGCCTATTGGTTCTGATTCTGAGCCTTTGTGACACGAAACACGACAAAAACACAAATCTTTTGAATCTCAAGGAGACTTTCTATTTACAATAAAGTGTTTTTATGATACAGTAAACATAAAAAATATCCTCTATGTCGCCGCCACGCACACGTTTACGGTGACTCGGGTAGCAGCGCTCAGGTCTGGAAAAATGCTGCATTTTTGTACTTTAGTTTATAATTTATAACAAGATGATGAGGGATAGATATGCTTTTTGTTGGTCACATGTGAGTTAATAGTTTTATCCCTTTATGATCTCTGTTTTAGAGACAAACAAAGTCACTTTATCACAAGCAAACGTGACCTTAAATAGAGTAAAAAGAAGGTTAGTACTAATAATCCACCGTATTGGCAGTGATTACATTTTTCTCACTTTAAAGTGCTCCAGTCCTGCATATTGCACCACAGCGATTTAAAAAGTTATCTTTGGGAATCGATAAGCAGAATCAGCATTTGTCTTTTACATTTTTGCAAAAAATCATTGGTTCCTATAATTAGTTGTTTTTTTTTTAAATGGCTTCAATTCAGAACCAGTTTGTGATACCCAGCTCTGGTTTGAGGCTTCGATTGGAACTAGAAAAAAACAGAGGGCTGTGTCTGCAAGTTGCTGGTCGCGTACAGAAAGTGAACGTGTCTCTGTAGGTAGTTTAGCATCTTCTCCTCTGAGCTACGTGGCTGAGCCGGCAGAGGGAAGGTCGGGCTTTGAGCTGCATAGACTCCACGGCAGGTCTGTGGAGGGGACCTGGACTCTATCTACCGGTGGTGGATTCCCGCCTTGCTAAGCAGGAACCTGCTGGTTGTCAGGGCGTATGGCTGTAGATGCCTGGGCAGAGCGGGCCTTTAAGGCAGGTTGTATGTTTGAATCCCACTAACACCCCTTTTACACCAAAGAGCCGAGTTCAGCGTGAACACGGCGCTGTCTACCTGTGAGAGGCACCAAACCAGTGAAATCCCAGTGTCAAGACTCTTCAATACAGGACACAGGTCAGTGTGGCGTTATTTAACCGGGTTGCTGTCCAGCATTGACCTTTTCTTTTTGAAGCCAGTGTGTTGTTCTGATGTGAGTTGGTGGTCTACGCAGGGCGGCTCTGGCACACTGGTGGTCAACCTGCATCTGATTGAAGTCAAGAGCTTGTGGGGGAAAAGGGGTGTAAGTGGCTTGACCCTGATATCTCAGCTTGTTGTTAGCATGGGCGAGATAGAGAACTACAACAGCATGGCTTGGTCCAGGGCTCTGAGCAGGTCGCAGCCCTGGAGGAGGTGCAGGTTTCCCTGCAGCGGCACGTTCACCTCGCAGTCGTAACGGGTCAGCTCGGGCAAACACGAGGGCTCGAAGGACGGGCCCAGCAGGCGACTGGCGATGCCTGCAGAGAGACAGAAAGGGAGAGAAAGTTGAATACCAACGAGACAGGCTGGAAGACAGCGACATCGAAGTCCTGATTTATGAAGAAATTCTAGTCAGCATAATACTACAAAACAAAAGAACACATTTTCTTGTAACTGAAACGGCAAAAAAGCTGATTTGCTTTGGAAGCAGTTGAACAGGTTTGTTGACTTGTTGTAAGAAGAATCACAGTTCACCTCAGGAGGTGGTTACCTCATTAGTTAGGAGGTTGTTTTTAATATGAGTGTCCACGTCGTAGACCGATGTGTACTCATTGTGGTATCAGTAGAACCACGTGTGTGTTCACTTTTAGAGTTGGGAAACAATGCATTTGCACTAATATGAATAAAGTGAAGCTCATTTCTTTGCTTCCCTGCCTGCAGTCGTCTCTGCTTCCTCAAACTGCTGGAGGTGAACACACTGACGATGGAAAACTAGCTTCAGAGACACCAAACTCTTCTTTAAGCTGGTCGAAATAAACCAGAACTCCTTTAATGACTCGATTACAGCCTTGACGTAGGATAGAACAGTTCTGTAAATGCAGCAGAGAGCGGTTCCTCTGTGCCGTCATGTCAGTGGGGAGTTAAACACATGATGGTGCTCATTAAGGTCATTGGAGCTCACCCTCTGTCTTGCTGGAAGGCAGCATGTTATACTCTGTGTAGCTGCAGCTCTTTTGGGGAAAGGCTTTTTCGTTTGCGCCACTTATCCCATTTCCTTGGTACTGAGACTTCCTGTGTTGTTGCAGAGAGCTGAAACGCGACGCCATGCTGCCGGGCATCATCCTGCCCATCCCCGACTCTGAGAGGAGACAGCGGGCGGTTAAAGGTGCAGTTAAAGTCAGCTACAAGAGAGAAGAGCGCGTTTCATAAATCCAGACTCACCTGTCAGAGATCCGGCGCTGAGGGAGCGGTCCATGCAGCCGTCCACCCTCATCTTCTTCCATATGATGTCTGACGGCTTGCCTTCACCCTGAAACAAGGAACGGAGCCTTCTTATAATATAAATAACTAATTATTTCGACTACATGTTTAAAGAAACACGACTGTGAGACGCCTGTTTGCTTCCTCAGGGTTAAACGTGTCTTTATTTTAGGGGAGTAGCCTGAAAATAAAGTCTTTTCCTCTGTCCGGGTTGCACATCTCAGTCCATTTTCATTCATAAACTAATTGTTTTACTACCAGCACCAGTATAAATGTGTGAAGACACTTCTAGTCTTAAAGTAGTTGACAATCCTTATCATAAAGTGTGAAACTTGACCTTTTAATGATGTATCAGGTTGTTTCCTGAAGAAAATACATGAAAACTTTAGTGAAGGTCACAGGAGCTGAAACCAAAAGCTCTAAAGAATTCTTTTAAATTTCTTTAAAGGTTTTATTTATTTTTATATTTTAAACTATTCATATTCACTGCAGATACGTATCATCTATAAAGGATATTTGAAAAATTTAACATGAAATACCTTGACCAGTTTGAGAGGTTTTCAGGTTAAATTCATTCAGAGACTAAATAACTCGTAGATACGACAGAACAGCACAAAGAAAGCTGAAACTAGAGGCTGAATTTCAACCCAGTCCTGTAAAAATTCAACCACTAGTGTTGGCTAGAAGAAATGACTTTCAGCTCAGAGGACCAAACTTCCAGGAAGATCTGTGGAGCTTTTGTAGGTCCCAGGAACTGGACAGAAACTCACCACGGCCATCTGGTTGAAGGAGCGCTTGATGTTGTTGGTCATGGCCATTCTGGCTGGACTCATGTCTCTGTAAGCTTGTACGAAGTTGTCAATGGACCTGCACACACACACGCATGAATGATGTTTAATGATGGAATCCACAATTCTAACAACACAAATAAGAACTGTTTTTATCATTTCATTCCTTCTCTCAAGGTTCAACGTCTTTAACACAGTTCTACTGTGATCCAACACAAGAGCTCAATAAATCCTACTTTTACTGTTTCAGGATTGTTTTAGCATGTTTGGACAAATTATGACTTGTGATGTTTTGCAGGACAGCGAACCATCACCCACCACTGTGATGTCAGGAAACGCAGGAGCTTCATAAAAGTAGATTTTATGACAGAGCTGTTGTCTTGGATTGCAGTTAATTTCACAGGTGCACCCAAAAGTGGCTAAAAAAAGGCAGCAGTAGTCTCAGAACCTGTGCATGTGACACAGAGCCACTCGAGGTCACGGCAGAACTTTGAGGACTACTTTTGTGTTACCTCCTGATTGTGAATGCTGCTCTGTGGGTTTGCATCACGTGCACAGGTTTTGAAACTAAATGCCATAAAAGTGCACGTGGCAAGTTCCTCCTGAGCACGATGTCGTCTTCATTTATGGTTTGAAGTGAAACACGAGCTCAGTTTTGACTTCACCTCTGTTTCTGCAGCAGATGCGACATGTTCTGCTGGCAGGACGGGCGCTCCTCTCCCGACACAGGGTCCACCAGGTAGGCCTTGGTGGCCCGTTGCTGTTGTTGGTAGGTTAACAGCGGGTCCGGCGGCCACTGCAGGTTCTGCCTGCCACCCATGGAGGACAGAGGAGCGCTGGCCGGGGCCTGGTATGGTGGGTTCTGCATGTGCCCCATCATGTATGACCTCGAACGGGGGTCCATGGCTCCCGGACCGGAGCCTCTCTTCTCTCCTGCAGCCCAGGATGCAGACGGCTGGGGCTGGTAGCGGCCTTGGGGGTGAGGAGGCGAGGAGAGGGGCTGGAAGAGGCTGGCGATGTTGCTGAAGCTGTGGTGGGTGGCCTGGTGCGTCTGCGGCAGGCTGCTGGTGCTGCCCATGGATCCCGCCGGCCCCGACTCCCGGGGCTCCGACTCAGGAATGATGGGATTCAGCTGGAAGTCCTCTCCGTCCATCGGGATGTAAGGAGCCAAAGTCTCCAGGTCCAAGTCGCTCAGGTCTCTCTGGAAAAGGGGAACAGGAGGAGGTTCGTTAATTACAGACGTCCCAGTCTTCATTTAACAGTGACTGGTATCTCTCATGCCTGTGATCTACACTATGTCTACATCTGTCTTCAGGCAGAAATGTGGAAGCCACAAGAACAGCTGTCACATGTTCTTCTGGGAGGTAGAACTGGTGTTTTGCTGGAACCCAACACAAGTTATTTCTTGTTTTCTGGCCTGAATTCAATAAACCTCAAAGAAGTCTGTCACAGGCTCCTTTACGAGCATGATGTGGGTTCTGTAGGCTGCAGGACAACAAACTGAACTGAACCAGCTAAACTCCACATGGTGCAGAACCTGGTGCCTCAGCTCATCTGGTAATCAGGTATCAGATTATACTGAACATGACTCAGATCAGAATTATTTGTATTGAAGGTGATGCCATAATGTTATGCAAGTCTAAGGTTTAAAAATGTAATTTAATCTAAACATCACAGTCCTGTAAGAGTGTAAAGAATGAGCTGCATTTAGCAACCTGTCAGTCCTTACAGACCTTCTTGTATCACTGGTCTAATAACATGTATGTATGAATCATTTGAATTCTTTATTACAAGCCAAAAGGCCCTCAAGAGATTTTACAGTAAGAGGCCTTTAATGCAGCACAGATTTGTTCACAAGACCAAAGCACACACCTCAGTGTCTGCAGGGCTGCTGTCGCCCTCTGTGTCCAGAGCAAACAGCTTCTCGGTGAGCTCCACCTTCATGTCGCTGTCCACTGAGCTGTAGTAGTCACCTGGGCTGCTGGGCTGCACAGGTGGAGGACGGGGAGGAAGAGTGGACGTGGGCGAGAGGAGCAGAGAGGAACAAGATGAGCAGCGCAGACAAAAGGGATAAAACGTAAGAGAAAGGACGGAGTAGAAAGGACGAGAGAGAGAGGCTGAGTGATGAGCTTTCACAAAGGCACTATTCAGTGCTGAGAGGCTGCTCCATCCAAATATCCACCCCCGTTATTCTCACGCACGCTGCCCACTTTTAGTGACCTCACTGAGCACAGAGAGAACAAACTATGACACAAACCCAACCAACCAGTCGCTCCATCGCTCGCTAACTAATTAATCCTTTCAGTTTAACAATCGGACTCTGAATCCTGCCCCGTCCTCACCGTGGAGCAGCTGCTGAGGCTCGGAGTGGCGCTGCCCGGCGCCGGGTTCTGCTGCACGGTGAACGTGCTGGCCATGTTAGCCATGTCCCCTGGACCCGGAGCCGGAGTCTGGCCTGGTGCAGCAGCAGCAGGCTTGCGGCTCTCGCTGGCCCAGGATGGAGGTCCTGGGAGGGGCATGGCCGGAGCAGACACCTGGCTGTACGAGGCCGACTGCTGGGGCTCGTCGAACTGGGAGCGACCTGAAATCAGACAAAAAATAAAAGAGAAAGTTTGATGGTAACAGCAGATGAACTTCTGTTTGCTGGTAATTAAACCATTTCTTCCTGAAACTGTCTCTTCAGAATCCACTGTTATATCAGCAGATGAGAGTAAAACTATTCAAAGATATTCATTTATAGGCAGAAACTTGCAGGTTAACACAGTAAATACAGAGAATCCTTATGTATGCTAAACTAATGTAAACACAGGTTAAGTGAATGCAAACACAATTTAAAACGGTCAGAGAGCCAATCGATCAGTTAGCTGATGTCACTGCCCGATATTGTTCTGTCACACGCGCTAATAAAAAAACTTTCTTTTTGGACAGAAAATAATGCAGAGAAAAATATAAAATATTAATTAATTAATGGTGTAACACCCTCAGCAATGTGCAGCACATGTAGCAGAGAACGTAGTGGTGCGGAGTCAAACTGCTAACGAGCTCATAAAGGTAAACATCCTGATGTTACTCTGAACATGTCCATGTATGTGCTGCATATGAACAATACGGGCCAGTATATCTAGAATGGCATTTCTACCCTCTAGAAATAGGCAGACACTTTCAGGGTCCTAAAAAGTGGGACGACTGCAAAGAAAAGTGGGTTTTTGCTTTCTGATAAGTTGCCATAAGTAGAGTAAAATAATCCACTTTGCAGGACAACTGTTGTGGTGCTGCTGCTAACATCATGACTCCACCAAAGCAGTCAGAAGATGGACCCAGAAGTCAGCACTGACCAAAGTCCAGGGAGATGATGGTGTCTCCAGGAGTGGGAGCCAGCTGAGCCAGGTCCTCCGGCTCCTCTTTCAGCTCCGTGAACAGGGTGTCTCCTGTCTCTCCGGTCATACCGACGCCTCCGGAGGTGAAGAAGCTGTTCATGTGTCGCGGCTTGAACAGCGACTCCGTCTGCTCCAGGGAGAAGATCATGGACTTCTCCTCGATGTCACTGCAGGAGAGACGAAGTGAGATGGGTTTTGTGTGGACGCAGAGAGCAGAAGACAGCATTTAAAACAGGGATGACGTTGGCCCTTCATTAGACATGGATGTG